GAGGAAGTCGAAACCAAGGATGGGTTGAGACACGTCTGCTATCACGAATAACCAACGCAGAGTCTTGGGCAGACCGAGGTCTAAGGCGAGGGTGAGTACGCCGTAGGAGGCGATGGGGGTACCGTTGGCAGCGAACAGGTCATAAGAGGGTTGCTTTGACTTGTCTTGTAGTGAGGGAGGGATGAGGCTGACCGACGAACCTGTGTCGATGAGGAACTTCTTGCCAGAGGTGCGGTCGGTGACGTGCAGTAATGAGACGCCTGAAGGGACAGAGGCTGAGGCGTCTACCAGCCTCCGGTGTTGCCGTTTCCCGAATAGGTGCAATAGGGCTCACAGTTTCGAGCATTGCGGCCAAAATTCTGGTGATACCAGCAGAGGGTATATTTGTTGTGCTGGGGGCTGGCTGCTGTGCGTCGGAACTTGTAGGGCGTGGTGCGTGAGTCAGGAACTGGCACAGCAGCGGGTAAGGAGGAGCAGAACTGTTCAATGGTGTCCATCCTGCGGTTCAAGGTTTGTAACAGGTCCTTGATATCTTGTGAGGTATTGCTCGGCTGAGGGGTGTTGACCTGGCTTACAAGTTCGGTGGTAGGTACTGGTGTGACCATGGCAGCAAGGGGTGCAGCAGCGCACTCGTTGAAGATTCTGTCTGCCGCGGTTGCATATATTTCTGGTGTCGTAGAGTAATCTACTGCGGACAGGAGGTTGCGTACTTCTGTGGGTAGCTTTTGTGCGTGAAGCTGGCGCAGGATAGAGTCAGGAAGTCTGTCTGAGTACCGGGAGTTCACCCTGCACATCTCTTCCCAGAGAAATCCCGGAGTTGAGTTTCCAAGGGAGATGGAAAATAGGTTCTGCAGGAGATTGGAGCGGGTCCGTTGGTAATGCGTTCTTAAGGCATCCCGCAGAGTGGCGAATTTGTTGTTCTCTGGAGGGTTGGAGATGGTCTGTGAGACTTGTGTGGCGACTTCAGTGGGCAAGGAGCAGAGCAGGGCGCCGTACTTTTGCCCGTCTGTAGCTGTAGAGCCGATGAGAGCTGCTTCGACATGAACTAACCAGTCCTCTACGTTGTGGTTGAAGGTTGGTAGAAAGATCCGTCCGTCCATTCTTGCGGGAGTATATCGCACCTGTTAGGGAAGGATGAGGGATGGGTGCTTGTTCCGACCCCCTTCCATGTTCATAATCTCCTGGGAGGGAGGTGAACACTTGCGGGGGGGACTTCGGGACGAATACACTTTTTTAGGGTGCAGGTCCTTCGGCCAGAACTAAAAAAACAAAAGAAAAATAGGAGAATAGGCAAAAGAGCTCAAACCACGTTTGGAATATCGCACAATAGTTGCTCTCCAGCTGTGATGTGGGTCACCCACACCGCCAGTAGGGAGAACAGACTAATGCGTTATAAACCTTACGGTCGTGAGATGGTGTCGTTGTGGAGTAGTGGGTGGTGCAGGTAGGGGGTTGGCCTAGGCTGGCAGCAGGCAGGACGATCTTCTCAGCTCTAGTAGTAAGGCAGCAGAAAGGAGTGTGGTATTCACGGCTCCAGGGGTCACCAATGTAGCGTACTATATGTGGCCAGTTGTCAATTCTCTTTAGTTGTCTATTATCTCTTTGTATGGGCACACAAATGTACGTACACGTAGATATCTTCACTCAGGAATGAGGTTGGATAGAAACTCACGATGCGCTTTCTGTATATATATTGTTTGTACAGCGCAGTGCTTTATTTCCTCTCCTTCACTCTTCTAAACATCTTATTTCCTTCACTCCCCCTCATCTTCCCCTACAACCACTCTATTTCACTCCCCCTCACCCCGAGAGATGTACTGTGTGTCTCATTATGTTTAATTGTTGATGATTAGTGTAAGTACCTACATAGAATACGCGCTTAGGGGCTTTTGTTGTTAAAGAGCAGTAATATATTATAACATTAGCACACCCCTTATGTTGTCTCACATCTATCCAACCTCACCTTGCTTCACATCTACCCTCCCTCACCTTGCCTCACATCTATCCTCCCTCACCTTGCCTCACATCTATCCTCCCTCACCTTGCTTCACATCTACCCTCCCTCACCTTGCTTCACATCTACCCTCCCTCACCTTGCCTCACATCTATCCTCTATCCTCCCTCACCTTGCCTCACATCTACCCTCCGTCACCATGCTTCACATCTACCCTCCCTCACCTTGCTTCACATCTACCCTCCCTCACCTTGCCTCACATCTACCCTCCCTCACCTTGCCTCACATCTATCCTCCCTCACCTTGCTTCACATCTACCCTCCCTCACCTTGCTTCACATCTACCCTCCCTCACCTTGCCTCACATCTACCCTCCCTCACACATCACCCTTGCCTCGTCATACATGTCCTTTGCCTTATTGCTGTAATGATTTCCTATCCATAAGCTGTGGGGTACTCGTCTCCAGTCCTAAGGGTCGTTGGTTTGAGCCCGGGGTGCCCTTAGTCCATCCAGCTGTGAATGGATACTTAAGCTGAGGGAAGTGAAGAAGGTCGAGTATGTTATTGTTAATATCACCTCCTTCACTATACTTCACCACATAACAATAGGTCGTCTTGCATATGGTACCCACTTCGTCCATAAGCCGAGAGCATCGTTCATTTGGATCACATGAAGATTAACTCCCAGCTTATTTCAGTTGATGATTATACCCTTCTAACACTACCTTTCAGGGTTAGGTTAGGTTACGTTATAGGTTAGGTTAGGTTACGTTAGCGTTACCGTGGTTAGTCTAGGTTAAATTAGCTATTTTATCTTAATATTAATGAAGATTCTATACGGAATTGAATTTATTAACATGTCATCTGTTCCGTTGACTTTCTTCGTGTGTCAGAGCAGAATGTTGCCGCTTCTGTGTTCTCACGTATGGAAGTCTTTATGGATCGTGTGAGAAGAAGTGTGTTTGTTTACATGGGTGAATGTTATTCTCATGATACGTACTCTTACCTGCCTGTGATTCTTAGTGTGTGTGGGGGGCTGTATATAGGCTTATTCACACACACACACACACACACACACACACACACACACACACACAGGTAATACATCAGCTGGTCTTGACACTTTTACGTGTTTACTTAGCTCGTAACAGCTGTTGTTTGTAAGTGTGTGTTTTGATCCTTTCTTGAGCATAGTGTTTGTGATGTTTCATGCCAGCTGATGACCGCTCACGCTAAATTAACACAATCTGTTGAACATAAGATATGTAGCCTATATTTTACCGCTACCAGAGTACTGTGCATTCTCTTATATTATAAATTACATTAATTCTTTTAAAGTCAGGTTTTTATACATCTTGTTAATACCAGACTTATATAAACTGTTTCGAAGTACATGTGCTGTTATGATCAGAATTATATGCACATATAGACGTAAGGCTTCTGTTGATGTATGTGTTACGAGTTGGGGATTTTGAATATAGTTAAAAGTCTACCCAGATCCCAACAGACAACAAAAAAAAACAAAAAAAAACAAAGACAATCGGACTATAAAAGGGTAGACAAAAGATGCGAGTTTTTGTTGCGTATAATAAAGTACCATAAATTCCTTAACAAAATATTCAGCTTTATATAATTTACCCTTAACCATACTTAACCTAAACATTAACAGTATATACATATTTATACAACATACAATAATTTGAAGCAAGTGGACGTGGGGGAGGCAATATAAGATTACAAATACTTAAGTGCAGAGCTGAGATGGCTGACGAGTAAGGCTGAGTATTGTAGAAGACGGTAGGTAGTCACTGTGCCGTAGGTTTAGAGGATAGATGATCCTGTGGTCACTTCCCAGAGTGTAGTGCTCTCTCCTCGAATTGGAGCTGACAAAGAAGACTTTGAGGAGGTGGCGCAACAACCAGGATATGGAGAAGGGAAACCCCGGAGTGGTAACTAAGACGAGTCATACTCGTGTCTCGTCCCTAGATGGCGTGGTTCGTAGTGCTGGGTAGGTAGATCATGACAATTGGTGGAGGGGTTCGTAACACACCCCCCCTCCAAAGAC